GCGCATAGTTCATCGCATATGTCTTCGTACATTTTGGGGTGAAAAACTTAGCTTTCTATTGGGTGGTGTGAAAAACTTAGTATGACTTCAGAACGGGGTGAAAATAGCTATTTCCTCTAATATTAATATCATTATCCATCAATGAGAATAAATTTATTTGCTTGTTCTAATTGACTACTATATTAATAAATAACTAGTACGTAGATAATAATTATAATCTATATATCTATACTAATATAAAAAAATTGTTGGAAAAATATATTTTAAATAAGTTTGACCAAATAAATATAATTGACTTACTATTAATTGAATGTTGTACACAAGTAAATCTTTAGTAAAAAAACCTGAATCCTATTTTTTTGGTAACAAATTTGGAGATTCTTATTGGCAAAATTTGGATTCCATTTTTTTCGTATCATATTTTGTTTTTTTACCAAATTTTAAATCATAACAAATTTGGAGATTCTTATGCAAAAAAAAAAAAAATGTGTCAATTATTTATAAAAACCATTTTAAATACAAATTAATTAAAAACCCATGCAAATTGGATACAAATTAAAAAACAAATAGTTGTATAGTTTTTACACAATTCTTTCAATTTTATTGAATAATTTTTCTTTGATAAAAAGTGTGTAAATTGGATAAAACCACGTGAAAATTTTATTTTAAAATAAAACTGATATTTGATCGGGATGTACATTCAAAATTGTGTCCACATTTTTTGGTAACAAAAGGGGTTCATTTGATATTTAAAGTCACCTTATCCAATTATTTAGGAAAAATTGTGTGCAACTTTTCAAAATTTAAATGCATCGATTTTTTTAGATTCTTATGTTTTTTCTTAACCATGTTTTACCGAGATTTTGGTAAGTTCATATCATTTTTTTTTTTGTTTAAGTTCATATCCTTTTTTTAAGGAAAGACAGTTGCATAAACATTAACAAATTATTTCAATTTTAATTAGAATTATTTTCAATTCAATTTGTTTCGTAAAAAAATCGGTGCAATGTTAGAAAAATTCGATTGCATTTTTAGACAAAAACTATGATTTGTTATTTGGTTTACAAAACATATTAAGATCAAATTGTTTGATAAAAAATCGTTTACTGGTACGAACATCGGTTTCATTTTCAGGAATAACTAATGATTCTTTTCAATATTTCTTAATTGAAATTTAGAGTTCGATTTAAAATAAATAATTAGTGAAAATCCCTAAAAAATTCTATTTTTTTCCTACTATAGTATTGTTTAATAAATAAGATCCATTAATTTTTTTAAAAAATTGTTTACTAATAACTAATAATATGCAATTTTAGAAAAAATTCGAACACCTATGTAATAATTTGCGTGGTAAAGAATCGAACCAATAACGTTTGACATAAGGAAATGTTTAATAAATATAAATTTCATTTTCATGATATTTTTAATGCCATAGGACAATTTAAATACAAAAACATCTTTTAAAAACCAAATAGGTAATAAATACTCTCATGCATCGCATGGGTACCATACTAGTTAATATATAAAGTGGCAATGATATTTACTTGAAATGGTAACTATAAATCAATAAAAAAAATTTAGCCAAAATTTAAAAATCTCGCCTAAATTAATGTAATTAATATGCATAATCATTTTGATCAAATATTGTGGCTATTACCTTTATTAGTTGCATGATTTAAATTTGAAATATAATATATTGACAAAACTTGCAGCTATTACCTTTATTAGTTGCATGGTTTCACTTTGGTATATAATATATTGAAAAAAAAAAGAAGATTTTTATTTAAAATTAAAAATCAAAAAATAATTATTCATAACTTATGGGTCAATTAACTTGGACGTAAACAAAATATTCAATTATTTATAGTTTCATAAATTACTCAATAACTTACGGCCAATATTAACTCGGACGTAAACGAAATAGCAGTCAATTATTTATAGTTTACTAAATTACTCAACTGC